ACAGGTTTGGCATTGACTAAGGTGCCTGTTTGCTTAGTTTCTAATTCTGAGAACCCGTTCCCTGTGATGGTGTTCTCTTCTTCGCTAAAAAATGAGATATTACTGCACCCCTGGGCCAGACTTCCCTTCACCAGACCCTTGCAAAATTCTTTTTTTTGATGCTGACCTTCATTGAGGCGTACAGGTCAGGATGTTTAGATTGGTGAAGTTTTTTGGTCGCTTTTTCCAGCTGATGCAGCCAATTTTAGGTTCTCGATTTTTTCTTCATAGCTACAAATAAGAGACTTTTGCAGGTTGTTTGAATAATCTTCTACCTCTATCAGCTGATCTTTAAGCTCATTTTCTCTCTTGAGACATTCAACTTCTTTTTTAAGGATGATTTCCTTGCATACCGGTAAGTCAGCGTTTTCCAAAAACTCCAAACACTTCACCTTACAGGCATTACAAAACCAAAAAATATTGGCGTTTTCCACTAAAATCTTTTGTCATGAGTCTTTAATGGCCACACACATTAAGTGAAATCTGTTTTTACACTTTTCGCAGACTTTGAATTAACAACAGTGGCGTAGCCAGTAGGGGGGCAGGGAGGGCCACGGCCCCCACACGTATAGCGCTCCTACTGCTAAGCTAAAAATAAGAAATAAAATTATGCTGATCCTTATTTATTTTATTAACCTCTTCACTCTTTATTCTTTACCTTAAGTCAGCATTGTCGGCAAATGGTTTAATTCAATCAGAAAAAAGGTGATAGTTTCTGTTTTGATGATTGATGTGGTATTTGTTTACTAAACTATGGATTAATGGGTTGTGTGGAACTGTAATGCGTCTGGATTTTCCTGGATTATTTGTTCTAGTTTTCAAGGCATCCGGGAAGATTTTTTGAAGTTAATGGCATTATAACGTACTTCTTTTGGCAATTGCCTAATTATACTGCATACGGCTAGTAAACATCAGTTCGGCGGCCATGGGTCTATGGGTTCCTTGTATACATCTTGCCTTTGGGCGCCACCAAGTTAAATGTGACTTAACTAGGAAGATTACTTATTGATGTTATAACAAAACTTGTACAATTGGAGCGCTTAACAATAAAACAACTAATTAGGTACAATAATGTATCTGGCTTTCTTTATTAAAAAATAATAACAATAATAATAAGGCGCCAAAAAGTGTAGCCACCAAGTAATTAGGACTTAACTATTACGCCAATTAATAGCCACGAAGTTATTAAAAAGGTGTTTAGGATTAGGGTTGTACCTAATTTGTGAATATTTGAATAAATAAAAAAAATGTAAATAATGAAGATATGAATTTAAAATGAACAGTTTTTATTAACAATTGTGGAAGATTAAAAAAACAGTATGGGTTACACTATACCAACAGGCAAATTCAACACAGAAAAGTGAAAGTTATTCTTTGGGCAACCTCAGGGTAAAATTCTAGAATTTTATTTAAGGGGCACTTACCGACGTAATTCGGTGTCAGATGATTTATATAAGATTTGCCTAAATAGTAAAGGTGCAACTTACATGTATACAAGTGAAATGTATGTGGAAATCCAGAAGTTTCCAAAGTGAGATTATCTACAGGTTTGGTCTCACTATAGATAGGCTAAGGTATGGTAAGTGAGTCATGAGTCCTATCCACGTTGTATCTGTTTAACGTAGAACCCAATGTGGTTCTAGCAGAGTGGTACCAATAGAGTTGCTGAAGAAAGGCTACCAAAGTCCCAACTGAGAGCAATCTAGATCCAGTCTAGAATCTCTCTAAATACAGCTTAGCAACTGTCCAACTATAGCCTAAGACTGTCTAGCTACAGCCTAGCACTAGGATTGTCCAACTATAGCCTAAGAGTAGGATTGTCCAACTATAGCCTGAGACTAGGACCCTATAACGATGTTCGTATAAAAAAACAAATCGAGCCCCAAATATTAGAAATAATCTTACCTCAAATTGAGGGATACTCTAGACCAAAGGTGAAGTCTTAAACTTCCAAATGCTGCTCGCAACAGTCCTATTAAAAAAAATGGAACACGTGTTGTAGGTTAATATTTCCTGAAGAAAATCTCAAACTTACCGAAACAGAATCCAAAAATGACCAAGGGACGACTCTAGACAATTATCAGCAAGAAATTAGTCTAAAACTTGAGCTCCCTGGCACAAAATTCCAAAAAGTCTCGCCCCAAAAATAATTAGGGCCGAGGCCCGAGACCGGACGACTACTCAGCGTGAGGTCGCAGATCAAAAGGGCAGATTCTTCATTTAGAATTTAGATTTCGGAAGAAGACTTTCATCTGTCAAACTTCTAATTTTGACATTGAAGAAAATTATAGAAAAGGACGTGTTCAGTTTCACCCCAAAAGTACGAATTGAGAATCGGTTGTGTAAAAAATTACTGGTGAATGTTGAAAAGTGCCTATAGAACATATATCAAAAGGTCTAAAGAAAACGCCTAGACAAAACAGCTGTTCAATGACATGATGGAAATGAAAAATCAAAAAGTAAACAACAATTATTATCATAACCTCAGATTATTTATTTATCAATTAGGGAATCCAAACCACGTGACTTTTGCCAACCACCCGGCATTTTGAAATTTTTATGAGGTTAGAATACGGGTTGTTACATGTCAACGATGTCAGAAAAGTGTCAGATTGATCAAGCCTAGTACTCATAATCGCGAAATTCACCCTTTTTTGACATTGCTTGGATAATTTGACGTTTGATTCATGCATAAAACGTCAAATTGTCGAAGCAATCTCAAAAAAGAGCGAATTTCGCTGTTACGAGTACTAGGCTTAATCCTGCCAAAAGAAAAACATATGTTTTTTGTTTATTGTTTGCCAACCAGACGCCATTTGGACAGGTCGTTGGATTGCCTAATTAGATTTGCAAACAGAGATGATGAAAAAAACTCTCCTTTTCCTAAGATTCTAATCAATAACAGCGCGCCCTGCCGTACTGAATCAAACCTTCCTAGATCAATTAACAAAACTTGCAAACCTGCACCAAAAAAACTTTCAGTAGAAGGCAGTACTCAAGGTAACAAAATCTGGGCACAGAAAAGATAGTTGTTTATTCATTTATTTCATTGTAGCTCTATATGGAATCATATCCAGTATGGCAAAACAAGGTAGCTTATTAGCCAAGAAATTGAAAACGTTACAGCATGTACACACAAAAATGATTTTGAAGGCTTAAAATAAACTTTTTTGGGCGTGTCACTCGAGGAAATTTTGAATACTAGTCACTATATCTGAAAATCTTTACGCAGCCATATCGGGCATCAGACAAATTTAAAACACTGCTCCAGTCTTGGTTCTGACAATATGGAATTTAGTAAATTTAAGGGCATAGTGAAGGAAACAATTGAAACCTATATGCCACTCAAACCTAAGCTTGGTTAAATAATACAATATTCAGAGTAATCGAGAGAAAATGTACACAATAAATACGCCAAGAACAAAACAGCAGATTTTTACAATTTGTACAAAGCTTAAAGAACACAATCAGGGCAGTCAGGATAGAATACGAAAATGGTCTTTTGGACAACAGAGACCAGAAACAGTTTTATATGTATGTTAGGCGAACATTAAACAGCAATGCATCTGAGCTTTAGCTCAGAGAACCAATCACGGGAGTGATTATCTCTGATCCTCAGAACACATTCGCGGATCACTTTGTGAAGGTATACACCAGAGAAAACCTAGTAAATTTTCCATCGCTATTGCAGAATAAAATGTCAGTGGGCAGACCATGTTACAAGGCTGAAGGATAAGAGATTGTCATCAAGGATCATTAAATGGAGACCGAGCGAGACAAAACGCAGTATAGGCAGACCCCCACTATGGTGGGCGGATGACATAAGGAGAATAGCTGGTGGAAATTGGCATCAAAAGGCCCAAAACAGGGATCAGTGGAAAGAATTAGGAAAGGCCTATGTTCAGGAGTGGACAAGAAGTGACTGAGGAAGAAGAAGATTGCAGAATACTAGATCTATTGAATCATCAACAACCATAGATGTCACTGAGGAAAAGGTTATTCAAGCAATTCTGAACAGAGAATCTAGTCCAGGCCTGGATGAAATACCGACAATATTTTTGATAAACTGCCAAAGGATGTTGGCTCCAGTAGTATCCAGCCTCATGCAGTCACTCATCACTCAGCAAACTGTGCCATAAAGATGGTCTCGAGCATATGTGCCAACTTACAAAAAAGGAGACAAGCTCAACCCTGGAAATTACAGACCAATTAGCCTTAACTGTAACCTCTACAAGATAATGGAAAAAAATAATAGTTCATGAAATGACATCTTTCCTTGTTAAAAACAAGACCATTCCACCCATCCAACTTTTACTACAACCAACCTACTCACCTGCATAAACTCATATGTACGAAAGAAGTGGATATAGTGGCCATCCGGTGGATGTACTGTCCTTGACTATGAGAAGGCATTTGACAAAGTAGCATTCAAGAGGTTATTATTCAAACTGCAATACTTTGGAATCAGGGCTGAGCTCCTCGGATGGATAAGCAGTTTTCTACAAAACCGAACCTTTCAAGTGAGAGCAAATGGGCATTACTCTGATAAATATCATTAATATTTGAGAAATGTTCGATTTTTTCTATTATTCAGACACGTTTGAAGAAACAATATCTTGTTCTATTCGGAGTAAAAGCTACTTTTGTAACTCGTCTGTCTGTGCTGGCCTCACTGCGATCAATAGGCAATCTTACAAACTCATCACAAAAGTGTCACTTTTACTCCTAATAAAACAATATACTATTAATCAGCTCAGATAGTCAAAAATTGTATAGTCAAATAAACCGCTGGAGTTAGCATTGTGTGGAGAAATTTTCTTCACAACTTCACACTATTAGAACCTACACTAATGACTGTATACTTTTTAATTCAGTTTCATCCTCCATTTGCCACAGCACAGTTCTATTTTTTCAATATCTTCTTGAAGATCCTCATAATTTTTTTTAACTATCAATTTCAGTTGCTGCTACAATTCGTTTAAGAACCAATGATACAAGAACCAACAAAAGCACAGTTCGTCGATACACTGCCAACAGATCGAGGAGTCGCAGAGATTCTGCTACTGTGCAACGTCGAGCGTCTACAATAGGCGGTGAAGTACAGGTTTCAATGCTGCCCGATTTGTCAGAAATGAGGTACTTATTAATATTATTAAATAAATATTTTTATTTAAAATTTTTTTGGTGTGTAGGTCTAATGAAGAAACTGCCTGGGACGAAATAATGAAAATTAAAGAGTTACCGATACCGATGTGGAAAAAGAGGGAGGAAAAAGCGAAAATAATGGTACGTTTTTTGTTTATTTCCATTAAATAAAGTGTTATCTTCATAATACACTGTTAATTATTACAGAACATGAGGTATTCCTTTGGAATATTATGTGGTTTTACTTACATCACCTTATAATAACAATTGATCTCTATTTAGAGAAAGCAACTAATTTACAAAGTTGACAGAAGATGCATAATATAGGGACATAAGTTATATTAACCAATTACCACGCTAACCATAGGCGCAACTAGGGGGGTGCTAAGCATCCCTAAAGCAAAAATTAGCACTCCTATTCGGCATCCCACCATAGCACTACCTAACACTTATATAAAAAATTAGTGCAACCAAATTATTTTATGTATTTTTTTTGCACTTTTTGTATTTACTTACGTCATCGATGACGTCATAATTTAGAAAAAAGTATTTGTCGTTGATTAATTCATAGAGCACGTTCGCAATTATTATTGTTATAGAATAAAAAAATTTCAACCGGGGCCGGTATTACAATATTACCTTAAAATCAAGACTTACCCTAAAGTATAGGGTTTTTATGTTATATTTAAAATGACGTCATCAGACAATGTTGTCAATGTCTATGTTTATTCTATATCTTAAGGTGACATTGAAATACCGGCACCTAAAAAATCATTGGAGTCCAGTGATGCCCTTTTTAGTACATTTGTACTATATTCAGTACACTCCAGTGTAATTAAGTACGTCAGTACACCATCGATAATTTTAGTACAATTTAGAGAAAATTACAAATCACTGATAAAAGCGATTTCCATTTGCAAAATCAGTGCAAAAAAATGTACCTATCTCTATCCTTACGTTTTATATGCTTCTAGAAAAAGATGCAGAACGCGAAAACACTGGTATTGTATGTATTATCGTTTAATCGAATGAAAGATGTCACAACTCAAATAGATTTTTGTGGATTTTTGCTACGTCACCCGCATAAATATTTAAAACTGTTAGTTAGTTAGATATTTAGTACATTTTTAAGTAATTTAGTACAAATCATCGCCAGACTTCAGTACAAAATTGGTTTGTCTCGCGGCAACACTGTTGAAGTCCCAAATATATAAATTAATTAACTGCGTATTATACAGGGTGTTCCTAAATATCATGTACAAACGACAAAGGGTGATTCTTTTTTTTTTACGACTGAAATCTCAAATATGTTCTAAAAAATTGACTTATTTAAGCAATTAAAAAAAATTCACCTTCTTACATTTTAATTTTTTTCTAGAAAACTTGCCAAGAGAAAATTTTGAAAACTTTCCAGGAATAAGAGGAAAATGAGGAGCTCATTTTACGAAAATTTCAAAATTTTCAAGTAAAAAATCACTCCAGGAAAAAATCTGAAAAATTGACTTTTTCAAGTAAAATTAAGGAGAATTCATCCTCTTAGATTTTAATTTTTTTCTAGAAATCTGGCAGAGGGAAAATTGTGAAATGTTTCCAGAAGAAAAAGAAAAGTGAGGAGCACATTATAGAAAAATTTCAAAATTTTCCAGTCAAAAATCACTCCAGGAAAAATTCTGGGAAATTGATTTTCTTAGGCAAAATTCACCCTCTTACATTTTGATTTTTTTTTGGGAAATTGGCAAGAAAATTGTGGAAATTTTCCAGAAAAAGAAGAAAATAAAGAGCTCATTATAGCAAATTTTGTGATTTTTGAAGACTCGTAATTTCCGTAATTTTTCTTTAGAAATTTTTCAATTCCTGTCATTTCTCAAATAATTCTAATAATTTTTTTATTAATTCCTGTTGTTCTCCAAATTTTCGTAATTTTTTAATTCCTGTAGTTTCTCAGAAAATTCCGTTATTTTTATAATTCCACGTTTTTGTATATTTCAAAAATTAGTAGGTAATTCCCGTAATTTCCGTATTTTTTCTGGGCATTTTTCAAAATCATTTCCCGAAAGCATTTTTCTAATTCTCGTAATTCCCGTAACTTTTTCGTAATCTCCGTAATTTTTTATAATTCTCGTAACTTTGATAGTTTTCGTAATTTTCAATTGTTGTAATTTTTTAAATTTCTTGGACGTTTTTTAAAATTTTATAATTTTTCGGTCTTTATAATTTTTGTAATTGTAATTCCTGATTCTTGTAATTCTTGTTATTTTCTAACTTTTTGAAAATCATCATAGTTTTTTTTTTCGATTTTTGCAATTCGTTGATAAATTTCCGTGATTTATTCCAGAATTTTCGTAACTTTTGTAACTTTTCTAATTTCCATAATTTTTTAAAAATTTAATTATTTTCCGTAGTCCCGCAATTTTTCGTAATTTCTGCAATTTTTGCAATTCCCGTAATTTTCGTTAATTAACAAATTCCTTAATTTTTGTGTTATTTCCGAAATTTTTTTTTTCAATTTTTCGTAATTTCCGTAATTTTTGCAATTCCCATAATTATTCTAATTGTCCTAATTTTTTTTATGATTTTCCTAATTTCCGTAATTTTTTATGATTTTCGTGATTTCTGTTATTTTTTTAATTCCCGTAATTTCTTTATTTTATTTTTCAATAATGATAATTCCCGTAAGTTTTAGAAATTTCCGTTATTTTTGAAATTCTCGTGATTTTTATTATTTTTTCGTAAAACGTAATTTCCAATAATTTTTTGCAATTCTACGTAATTTTTAAAATTCGCGTAATTTTTTTCAATAATTTTCATTGTTTTCCGTAATACTCGATTTTTTTCTAATTTTATAATTCTTCTCTCAATTTTTTTAATAATCAATGTAATTTCCATGATTTTTTGAAATTTTTGTGATTTTTGTTAATATTTTTCCATATTACGTAATTTTCCAATAATTTTCGTAATTTTACATAATTTTTGAAATTTCCATGATTTTTTTTTCGTAATTTTATAATTCTCTTAATTTTTCAATAATTGTAATTCTCGTATTTTTTTGAAATTTCCGCGATTTTTTGTAATATTCGTTATATTTCATTTTTATAATTCCTGTAATTTACGTAATTTATCAATGACTTTTGTAGTTCTACGTAATATTTGAAATTGCCAATAATTTCCATTGCTTTTGTAATACTCAAATTTTATAATTCTCCTTTTTAGTTTTTAATAATGGTAGTTTCCGTAACTTTTTAAATTTTCCGTAATTTTTGCAATTCTCGTAATTTTTCTTATTTTTTCTTAATACGTTATTTTCCAATGTTTTCGAAATTTTAATAATTTTTGAAATTGCCGTGATTTTTTTCGTAATTTTATAATTCTCCTAATTTTTTTTAAATTTAATTTTCGCAATTTACCCATAATTTTCGCAGTTCTACATAATTTTTGAAATTCCCGTGATTTTTGTAATCCTCGTGATTTTTGTAATTTTTTCGTAATTTCCGTAATTTGCCAATGATTTTTGCAATTTTACGTAGTTTTTGAAATTCCCGTAATTTTTTAAAATAATTTCCATTACATAAGTATTTCCATTCCCGGTTTTTTTCGTAATTTTGCAATTCTCATTTTAATTTTTCAATAATTGTAAGTGTTGTAATTTTTTCAAATTTTCATAATATTTGCAATTTTAATGATTTTTGTTATTTTTTTGTAGTTTCCGTATTTTATGTAATTTTTCAATTATTTTTGTAATTTTACATAATTTTTGAATTTCCAGTATTTTTCAAATTTTTTTATTTTCATTGCTTTTGTAATACCTGATTTTTTTGTAATTTTTTTAATTTTCCTCTTAGTTTTTTAATAATTAATTAATGTATTTCCCGTGATTTTTCAAAATTCCCGTGATTTTTGCAATTTTTCCGATTTTTTTCTTTTTTTCGCGATCCCTGTAATTTTTGAAATTTCTATAATTTTTCAATTTATTTTTATTAATTCTATATTTTCCGTATTCCTGTATTTTCCGTAATTTTTTAATGGAATTTTTATAATTTTCCTAATTTTTGTGATTTCCGTAATTTTTTGAGGAATCTTCGCAAATTCGGTAATTTTTTGATTTTTTCGTAGTTTCTAATAATTTTCAATTTTTGTAATTTTTTAATAAATTATTTTCGTAATTTTTCAATTCTTTTAATTTTTATAATTCTCATAATTTTTTAAAAATCTAGTAACTTAAGGAGTTTTGAAATTTTTGTAATTTCTGCTAGTTTCAATTTTTGTAATTTTCGTAAAATTTTCCGAAATTTTTGCAATTCTTATATTTTTTAAATTATCAATTCAAAACTATAGGAATTACATATAAGGTACCTGTCCCAAATAAGGCCATGTTAAGAGGTTTTATTTTTTCTAAACACTATCCACCAAACCCGACAAAAATCACGAGCTTATATGTGAAATGTTTCGCTTCTATTACTTGAATATTAACTCCAATTTATTTATTTTTTCATGTAAGTGGTGGTTTTTGCGTAAAACAAAGACCCTTACCATTGGCCTTATTTAGATCACCATGCTCCTAATAAGGCCACCAATTAAAAAAAATAAAAATAAATAGAATTATTTATAAAAATATTATTTTTTGACAAAAAGTATTCAAAATAGGACTTTTACGTTTGCTGCATTCTAAAAAAACAATAATTTTAAGTCCTGGGATGGTAATCCAAATAGGTCTACATACAACTAGGACAAATGAACCGCAGCTTTTCTTGCTTGGTTAGACTCCAGTGCTTTAAAAAACACATCACTTAAGTAATAATATGACACATTCTTTTAAAAAAACACTGTGATGTGATGCCAATTGGAAATTTTTCATGTGGCCTTATCAGGAACATGTTACATTGATAAAAAAAAGTCTGTAATTAGAAATCTAGCGAATATATTATTCTGTACTTACTCCGTAGCTTTCTCAATACATAAAGGTCCGTGTAAAAATTACATTTGCTCCATTCCCTTTGAAAAAATGTGAATAAACTAATTAAGTTTCAGCCTCAAAGTTATAACTTGACATATGAAATCTGTGGTTAGCCATTTTTCGACATATAACTAGTTGCTAGGAATCCTCGCAATAATTTTTCATTTGCATTATAGATATCTTTTTTAGTAATATTGTAATTTTTGAAGATGGGATTCAATATTAAGCAATAAGGGGCATTGGCCTTATTAGGTACATGGCCTTATTTGGATCAGGTACCTTATACATAATTCAAAATTTCAAAAAATATTCTAAAATTACGGAAATTATTCGAATATTACAGAAATTACGAAAAATAACGGGAATTACAAAAAAATAGGGGAATTACAGGAATTATTCCAAAAATGCAGGAATTACTCAAAATTATTCAAAATTACAGGAATTATTTGTAAATTACGGAAATTTTCTCAATATGTATTATAGAAAATTACAGCATTTACAAAAAATGGAAATTATGAAAAATTACGTGAATAACGGAAAATTACGAGAATTATGGACATTACGAAAAACTATGAAAATTACAGAAATTATTGCAAAAATTTTAAAATTTTCAAATGAAAAATCAGTCTTAGGAAAGTTGATAGGAAAGTTCTGGAAAATTGACTTTTTTAAGCAAAATTCATCCTTTCACATTGAAATTTTTTTTTGGAAAACTGCTAAAGGGAAAATTTTGAAAATTTTCCAGGATAAAGAGAAAAGTGAGGAGCTCATTATAGGGAAATTTTGTAATTTTCCAGTGAAAAATCACTCCAGGAAAAATTCAAAGAAAATTGACTTATTTAAGCGAAATTAAAAAAAAAAATTCACCCTCTTACATAAGTTATATTAACCAATTATCATGCTAACTAATTATCAATAATCCATTCTTCCAGAGCGAACAACACCTAAGACTTCAAGGCTTCGAACAATTCAAATGGAAACGCAAAAAGGCCTGGCAACATTTCACCACAAGACTGACAGAGTCCTACCACAAAATCGAACTGTGGCGCCGCGACCTCAAGCATATAGAAGGCCACTTTGGTACCGGAGTAGTAGCCTTTTTCCGTTTCATCAAGTGGCTATTTTTCCTCAATTTGTCCATAACATTATTGGTGGGGGCATTTGTGGTATTCCCCGCCTTTTATTTTGATGACAGATCAATTAATTGCGAATTGCAGCCTTCAACATGCTACAAGCAGTACTACTGCAATATTAATAGTAGCTCGAATTTGGCTTTGAGTATTATACAAGGTACTGGCCAGTTGGAAAGTACACCGCTGTTTTACGGGTACTATCAGAACAAAATTCACAGCTACACTTTGTTCAATACAAATATGTATTATAATCTTCCTTTAGCTTATATTTTGATAACTTTGGTGTTATTTTTAGTGTCATTGATAGCTATAGTACGTACAGGGGCCAAAGGGTTTAGGGAGCGATTAGTGCAAGGCGAAGGTCAGTTTTATCAATATTCCAATTTGATTTTCGGGGGTTGGGATTTTTGTATACACAACGAAAAAAGCGCTAGAATAAAGCACAAAGCTTTACACAGTGAGCTTAAGAGTTTATTGGAAATCGAACGGTTAGAAGACGAGAGACAAAGTAGAACCAAACAGGAACGATGGCGGATTTTTTTTCTGAGGTTTTTGGTCAATACGATTGTTTTAGCTGTTTTGGTTCTTAGCGGCTGTGCTATTTATTTTGTTTTCAGATACTCGAATCAGCATACTGAAACTAATAAAATGCTTCGGTTGTTTTACGAGTTCTTACCGTCAATGTGTATAGTGGCCCTAAATATTACTGTGCCATTTATATTTCAGTTTTTGTTGTCGTATGAGCACTATAGTCCTCTAGTGCAAATAAGAATGGCTTTGATTCGGACTGTATTTTTACGATTAGCTTCATTGATAGTGTTTTATTTTTCTATGTATAGTAAAATACGTTGCGATAGTGGAGGGCTTAATACTAGTAACGAGTGTAGTAATTGTGCTGGTAGGCCTGATTGTTGGGAAACTTTTGTGGGACAGCAAATTTACAAATTGCTCTTAACTGATTTTGCTATACAATTAGGCATAACGTTTTTGGTCAATTTCTGTAGGGCCTTTTTAGCCAGGCATATAAATAATCGGTTTTTTAAGTTTATTGGAGAACAAAGCTTTGACTTACCAAAGCACGCTTTAGATGTAGTGTATATACAAACTTTATGTTGGGTTGGGGTGTTTTTTGCTCCAATAATCAGTGTGATGTCTTCTTTAATATTTTTCGTCTTGTTTTATGTTAAAAAGTTTGCTTGTTTGGTTAACAGTAAGCCTAGCGGTAATGTTTACAGAGCCTCTAAGTCTACGTCAATGTTTATGGCTGTAATGCTGTTTTCTTATCCAGTAGCTCTAGCCCCTATAGCTCTTATTATTTCTGAAATACGCCCGAGTTCTTCGTGTGGTCCCTTTCAAACATTAGACACCATTTGGTCGTTGATTAATAACACTTTTATCGATACACCTACTTTAGTGCAAAATTTCGTTAATTTTCTAGTCACTCCAGCATTTACTATTCCATTGTTTATTATTTTAATTTTACTTTTGTATTATTATACTTCGGTTAATTCTGCCAACAGACACATGGTGACTGTGCTCAAAAATCAGCTTGTTTTAGAGGGACACGATAAGAAATTTTTAATTGATCGCCTCTTGATGTTTATTAAGCAAGAAAATGATAAAAGAGCCAGGCTTGCCAATCATATGATGGATGGAGATACAATAACCAATGCTAGTAGTATTCAGTCTTAAATATTGTAAATATTTTTCCATTTTGCTTTTCTCATCCATATATGAATGTGATATATAAGTATAGTCACCCATTTTTTTTATATACAAATTAATATTTAGTAGATTATTAGGTATCAAAAACGTTTTTTTTTTTTTGTTAAGTCCATCCACTTAAATGTGTAAATATTTACCAATGTCCAAAATTATTAAGCTCAAAACCCTCATGAAATCAAGCGCTTGACGTCCATAATCCATAGTTTAACCCTTCCATTATCCTGTTGAGAAGTTTTCTTCTTTTTGTGATATTTTCAATTATTTATTTTTAATAAAAAGATTATTTTAAAACAAGTGTTTAATTCAATATGTCATCAGTCGATAACACGAAAAGAAACATTATGTGAGGAATACAAATAATAATGAAATACATTATTTTGGCACAAATGAATATCCAGAGCTTTACAGGATTTATTGCCTCCCAATGTGGGATAACTGCATCAGGATTTCAAAAAATTATAAAGAATAAAGAAATATGTACAGGGTGGCCCATTTTCGATGTTTTAATAGGCTACATATATCGAAAACCAGTAGAGATATCAAAAATCTGGGAGCACATTCGCGACTCTCTAATTTCCTTATTATTCAAGATATCCAAAAACGGAAAATACTTTCTATGGGATGTTGTTCAAGGAGAATCCAGTGGCATGACCAATTTTTTTCCAAATGCCACCGATTTTGGAATATTGTTAAAGTTGTGTTTTTTTAAATGGGACACCCCATATAATATTTTTTTATTGAATAGCTCTTTGTGAGCTGATTTCAATGATATAAGGTTTTATACCTTTATCTCCAATAGTTTTGGAGAAAAAAAATAAATTCCGTTTTTTCCATAAGAAACAATGAGTTAGAAAGAGATTGTCGAACTATGAATCGGCTACAAATTTCTTAATTCTTAGTTTAATTTTTCAGTTCAGCTAATTTTTTTTTTAATTTGAACTATGAATCGGGGGTGATAAATAGGCAATAGGCAACACATAATTTCTTTAATGACTTATCTCTCTCTAGCTCATTGTTTCTTATGGAAAAACGGAATTAATTTTTTTTTCTCCAAAACTATAGAAGCTGAAGGTATAAAACCTTATATCATTGAAATCAGCTCACAAAGAGCTATTCAATGAAAAAATTATATACGGGGTGTCCCATTTAAAAAAACACAACTTCGGTTAATATTCCAAAATCGGTGGCATCTAGAAAAAAATTGGTCATGCCACTGGATTCTCCTTGAAAAACTGCCTATAGAAAGTATTTTCCGTTTTTGGATATCTTGAATAATAAGGAAATTAGAGAGACTTTTAAAATTGGACAAAATTTGAAAAGTGCCCTGTATTTCCTAAACGCATCAAGTTAGCCGTGATTTGTCTTCGCCATTGTTATTTTCTCAAAAAAAGAGCTCGAGAATGTGCTCCCAGATTTTTGATATTTCTGCTGGTTTTCGATATAGCCTATTAAAACATCGAAAATGGGCCACCCTGTACAAAGAAAAATACATCCAGGAGATTCGGAGTGCGGGCTGATATTTTGCAGCTGGTACCAACGAATGATAAATGCAAACCCCAGTTTTTGCAATACGATTTTGTGGACAGATGAAGCCACATTTACAAAACTTGAATTATTTGCTGCTGTGAAATATCAGAAGATACTGTAGTGTTTCCTTTATAAGTATTTTCAAAAAACATCACATCTCTAGATTTTATTATAATATTGACACGAAACTTCTCTGCTTCGCTATGTAGCTCGACTATTCACCCTGAAAAGCAGAACGGGAAGGGAGGAGTAACAGGGAAACACCAGAAAAGTTTTAAAATAGCTAATATATATATTGTTACAGGACGGAGATTACGGAAGCATGAATATTCAGTTATTACCAAATCATCATCATCATCTGGGACCAGATAAAGTCCCTTCGGGTGGTGAGGCTCAAAAAAGGCGGACAGTCAACCCTGCAATGCTAAACAACCAAACCATCACTACAGGAAAATCTAGAAAGCCTTTTCACTGTAGGTCAAAGCCTGGGTCGTCAGAGAATATCTGCCCTGATAGAGATACGATAGCGTATTAACTTTATCAGTCCAGATAGTTCACCAACTTTGAATCGTCTCTAAACACCTACTGATTGCAGCGAAGCGCTGAGACACGACTGATTTGCCATAGTGTGGCCCGGGCTTTTATATTCAATATTTGCTGACTATAATTAGGTTAATTAGTCTGGTTGTGTTTTCTTGCTTAGTTGCAGTTATTTGTTATAACCCGTGGTTCAGTGTATTGAATTTGGTTATAGCCCGTGGTCCCATGTAGGGTTGACAATATGACTTGGTTTTCGAATATCAAAGAGTCTATATCCTTTAGTTTGTTCACAGTAGCGAACAAAAATATATTGTTTGCTCTTAGAATCAAATTTCTTTTGCAAATGATCCGGAATGTGCACATACGCAATACACCCAAAAACTCTAAGTTTAAATTTACTTTCTCACCTATCCATTTTTCTTGTGGAGTTAAGCTTGAATACTTTTGTAAGGAGAGCGATTTTTCAAATAAACAGCTGTATTTGCAGCTTCCGCCTACATTTTTTCTTCCAATTTAGCTTCTTGGATAAGACACCTTGCTTTAGTTGCTTTCTCAATTATTGTCCTTCCTGCAAAAATTATTTGTGTTCTATACCTTTTGATTTTAAATAATTTTCAAAAGAAGTATTGACATAGGTACTACTCGGTGCCATTATCGCTTCTAAGTTTCTTTAATTTTCTTCCATTTTGGTTTTCTACCAATACATGAAAGTCTTTAAATATAGTAAGAACTTCACTTTTTGATTTTGAAAAATAGACAAAAATCTTCCTCGAGTAATCATCAATTAAAGTGAACATATATCTTGCTCCATTCCATGATGAAACCAGCATTGGACCACACAAATCAGTATGGACCAGCCTAGCTCTAGTAAGTCTTTGGCACGCTTACCACCTGTCTTCTTAAAAGGCTGACGACTTTGGTTTCCTGTAAGACAAAGGCTACATTGATCACTTTTTTCATCATTGTAATCATCAATACCAGTAGCCAAACCTCGTCTGAGCAAAGACATACTTATTCTGTTCGAGTGTCCTAGCCTTCAGTATCACAATTCTTCCATGCTTGCAGTTTTAGTCAAATATGTGCATCGATTGGCTAAATCCAGCTGATAAAGTCCATTTTTATTGGAGCAGTAGCTACAACATTTCCTTTAACTTGGAAATTTTCACTGTCATATAGCTGGTAGCCTTTATTGTCAAATATTACTGCATGACCTTTTTTCACCATCTTACAGATAGCAAATTGGTTTTTAAATCTATCACTTAATGATAGAAATTACCTCATTACTATTTTTCGTAAAAACTGTTGTATTCACAACATCAAGTTTTTGATTACTTGCTACCAAAATCTCACTGCCACCTTTGATAATAAAATCTTGAAGATAATCCTCATTATATGACATGTGCGAAGTTGCCCCTGAGTCAACATACCTACCAACTGGATGTATTTACCAATTCAGCTGATACTAAATGTAGTGCTTTTTCTCGATTATTTTTTTCTATTGGTATCCTTAGGATTATCTGTATTCTTTTTATCTTTGTTTTTATCACGAGTGTTATCATTTTTTTTGGTACTTAGGTACACTGACTCTTGAAGTGACCAAACAGCCCACAGTTAAAGCATTTTACATTTCTCGTGTTAAATTGCTTTTTGTACTTGGAATAGAATGGTGTCTCAGACTTTTCTTTTCCATATTTATTATCTTAGAGAAGCTTAGCCTTGATGAAGTCACTTGTGATCAATGCTTGTGATAGACCTATCTATTTTACCAGACAAAGAGAAACTTTATTAGATAGAAAAAGACGCAGAACGCTTATTGCGCAAGACGAGGCAAAACGTACCAAATTATATTATTAGACTTACGTATAGCAATCCGTTCTTATAAATTGCACGGGATAAAAAAGGAAGGAGGAAAACCGCGTGACATGCAACGCATTTGTCAATCAAAAACACAAACAATTGAAAATCGATCACTTGTCAAGTTACGTCAAGTTGAATATCAAGAATAATTTGATCCTTGTCAGACCACGGGCAATGAACAAGGACAAGGAGATGCCCAGCGTACGAAAAGAATACCTCACACCTGTACTAGTTAGCCAATGAAAAGGCAATGCCTCGTGTTGCGCGCGCATACCAGGTAAAAATAGATAGGTCTCCTAGAAACTCATCGTCCACTGGCTGACCCATGTCACTTAATTTTTGAGCAAGTGACATATACTTTATTTTTTCCCAAGATAGATTTTGGCATTGTCAACTTTGAAACATAAACAATGCCGCTTATTGGCCGCTATTGTAAAACTGATGTCAACCTGCAGAAACACCTCATTTTGCGACCAATCAGGGTCAAGCGTTATTGTTTATGTTTCAAAGTTTTCAATGTCAAAATCTATCTTGGGAAAAAATAAAGTGTAGTTTCATTTACATATGCCTCTATAGTTTTAAAGTTTTCTAGTCTGACTCGGACTAAACCACGTATTAGAACTAACCTTCTAGATAGACGATAGACCTCTATCTTCATATGCGTTTTCAAGGTGTTTCCATGCTTGTTTTGCTATGCTTGCTGACCTGGCATGATGATTTGCTGAGGGATGAAGCATGAGGCAAATTTTAGCTAAAGCCTTCTGGTTCGAAAGTTCTCGTTTTTCCTACTTTGATTTATCTTCAACAGAAAAATACTCTATACATCGCCATGAATTTTCATGTATCAGAATCATTTTCATGCCAAATTTTTATAATTTTCTCGACAAGTAAGTTTATCAAATCCTAAATGCAGATTTGAAGTCAACTCGCCGATCTTGGTTTCAGTAAATAAATGAAAAAAATCGCAACACTCTTACTTGAATTTTTCGTTTTTCACGCTTTATATACCTACACTTTTGTACCTTGACCCGTAACCTATTGGTAATTTAAGAAGTTTGCGGCATTAAACCAAGAAATATTTATTTCAACGTAAGAAGAACCCGAGAAGCGATTACAAAATAATGACTAAAGGATGACAAACTGAAATACATTTCCATCAAAAACATGTAAGTATAGTCCGACAAATACCATTTTAAAGTCACGTGATACTGGTGGCAAAAAACGTATGTCCATTGATTATGTCGTTGATATCACCTACAAAAAGCTACTGGTGGTTAATTACTATTGAATTTTAATATATGTTCCCACTAGCATTTTACAAACGCGTTTCTGAAGTAGTATTGACCAATCAGAGGGCAATTTTAATACTTGCAATTGTTGCGAGACTCACTTTTGTTGCATGTGCTGTCTGTTGTAATACTTTTATCCTCACTTCCAACGGGCAGCGGCCCAATTTTACAAATATTGCCACAATAATAATATTAATACTAATAACAAACCACACATAAATAAAAATTTTAAAAAGAGTACAATAAATTATTTCTAAATTAAAAAATTGAAAGGACAACAAAAAACAGCCAAAAACAGATCACAGGGTAAATCACCAGAACAAAACAACATCACAGTGATAGCTTCATTTGGCGCAAAGACGCAGCAAATATGTCCACCTGTATCTCATTGGCATAAGACATAGCCCGATTAATGGTTGTGTGTTGGCCATAAGAGGTACGATGTCTCTCCAACGAAAAACAGCGCACAGCTCTAAAATTCCTCACTGGGACATTCAAGTTTACAGCCGAGAGCAACTCAGGGCAATTCAGATAACCTCTGAGCAACTTAAAAATCAACAACTGATCAAATTTTCTATGCCTATGCTCCAATGTTTCCAATGACAAATTCTGCAAAAGCTGACCATGATCAATAAAATCTGAAGGTATTCCCATTTTGTACCCTATGTATCTCAAGAATTTTCTCTGTACACGTTCAACTAATTCAACATAAATTTTATAAAGTGGTGACCACACACAGCTATTATTTTCAAGATGGGAACGAACCAAAGACACATACAAACACTTGAGAGCAGAAACATTCTTAAAGTCTCTTGTGTGTCTTTTGATAAAACCCAACATTTTCAATGCTTTATTACAACATGCATAAATGTGTTCAGAAAATGACAATTTTGCATCGAATACAACACCTAGGTCACGAATACTAGAAACATTTTCAATAACATTATCATTTATATAATAGTCATTTAGTCTGGGAGAATTTTTCCTAGAGAACTGAATATATTTGCATTTCTTGCCATTCAATGTCATCTCGTTCTCAACACACCACTCATGGAACCTCAGAAGATCATCCTGCATTCCCCTGTCTGGGCCTTCTGAACTTAAACTGAGTACCCGTTTTCTATTTGCTTCTTTTCGAGTTGGAAAAAGGTTAATATAGTCAAAATTATTAGCTGTGTTTGTTCGTTGTATTACTTTCGAAAATAACTTTGACAAACTAATTGATGGCAGTGACGGATTCTATTTCAGGTAAGAATATTATGAACAATAATTAGACAGCAATTTTTTTGTCAATTTTACTATCACCGCTGTTTGAGATGTATTCAACAAGGATAGAGAAAAATCACGTGACTTTAAAAAGCTATTTGTTGAACTATACCAGCACTTTGTGGTACCAGCTAAATTCACAATAATAGCAGGTAAGTAATTCTGAAAGACAAAGGGACCTGCAAAGGACGAGAATAACAACGGAAACACTTAAAAAGATTCAAGATAAAACACTACAATATTGAATTACATAATCAATAATAAAATTACCATCAAGGTACTCCTCACAAAAGTACAATGTACCCTGAATAGGCTGGGTAAATTTCACTTTTCACTTCATCTGGAAATTTCACTCTGAAATTTTCGGGGATAATACAACGAGAGCTTCAAAATTACCGATAATTTTTCACGATTGCGTGTTTTCTATAATTTGCAGAGAAAACACGCAAATTATTTGGTTCATTTTAAAGGTCAAGTGGTATTTAGAGGATTATTTCACATATGAGAATGCAAAAAATATGGGAATAAATATGTATTAAACGATTTGAACAACTTAACAACCAACACAAATAAATGGTTACTATCAGGAGCCGTTTATTTGCATCAAAAATTAGCATGACAACCATGTATACAATAACATGGGAGAATTATCACTGTAATTCTCTCTAGTTAAACAAATGGAAAAGAGAATTTTCGCTGTAATCCTGAAAATTGCCACTTGTCTTATGGGATTTCTAACACATGAGTGGAATAATCGGGGATAATACCACGAGAGCTTCAAAATTATCTGGTTCATTTTAAAGCTCAAGTGGTATTTAGAGGATTATTTCACTTATGACAGTACACTCTCGGTAGGCAAGCAGAAACGACGTGCTGTTTGTTTGTCTCCTCCGCCGTGGCATATCGGGTGTTTTTTTTTTTTCCGTTTTTTGTTGTCGAGATAAATAAAATAATATTTATAGTTCGAATAAAGGGTGGAGAATTGAATACCCAGCCGATGTTTTCGAGGTTTTTGCCTCGAAAAGGATGGGAGACTCGCAAGATAATGAAACCGAATGGAATTTGGTAAACAAAAGGAAAAGAAACACTAACAGTCCACAAAATGAAAATCCACAGAAAAAACCCAACAATGAAGCAGCCCCATCATCAACATCAAGAATAACCAACAAACTCAAAAATGCATCGGAAAAAATGCGGACAATTTTCCAACAGAAATACAATTCACTATTTTACTTCGACACTACACAAAAAATGAACCGCGCGGAGATTGCTGAATTGTGGGAAAATGCAATACCTAATAACCGAGATATAATCCTAGAAACCAAAAAAGGATTCTTACTAAAGAGCAACACAACCAAAACTATTCTTCAAGAAACTTTGAAGAAGTGAAAGGATGAAAAACTAATAACTAACTATTCAGAAACTCAGCCATACAAGAGAGAGAGTAGCGAAAAGCAGCATCCAGTGTCTTCCTACTCCTGCGTTATCTCTGGAGTTGAACAGAGCATTACATCCGAAAATCTATCCGAGCATCTTCAAACAACCCTTCCCCATAGATACTGTAAGCGAATCGTCTCTAGATCAACAAACTTACCAACTATGCTAATAAGAATAATAACTCCGGATGTGTCAACATATGAAAAACTACTAAATGAGGGCGTTTATTATAAATGCAGGCATTACGCAGTTTACCCAAGTGCACCTCCACAACCAGCCCCCATTCCTTGTAATCGATGCCTACATTTCACACACAAAATTGAAGAATGCACAGAACCTGTTGTTTGTACAAGATGTGGAGGACAACACAAAAGTACAAGATGCCAGTCCAATCTGCCTCCAAAATGTGTTGCATGTGGCTCAGAAGAACACCAAGCATGGTCATTTAAATGTCCAAAACGTCCAACAAAACCGATTGAAGGAATACCAAATATACAAATTAAACCTCTCAATAAAAAATCTAAAGACATTGCCGACATAGGGAAAAAATCCAGCAAAATACACTTGCCAGTCACCATTCATGACCATATAGTTAACACCTACTTACACAAATTGAATAAACCAAAGTACGGTAACAGAAATGAACTTCTTGAGAAGCTGCGAAAGAGATTTATCGCTGAGTTCAATGTCGAAACCTCAGTGTCGTTCTTCAGTGGCAACAGAATGTATATCCTTATGTTCGACCACGAAGAAAATGGACCCTCCGCCACCGAACCCATCCACGGAGCTCAAAGAGAAATCAATGGCTAACATAAATATACTATTTAACAACGTAAATAGTTATTCGCCAAAGAGGTACTTGATAAATCATGTAATGGAACAGAACAACATCCATTGTGGCTTATTTCTGGAGACTAAAACAAAAGAAAATTCTAACATCACATATCAAAACTGGGATACAATACATACGGCAGGAAACATCGCAAACCAAAATGTGAGAGGAGGTTGCCTAGCAGTGGCGTAGCCAGGATTTTGTCTTGGGGGGGGCACAAATTTGCGGGAAGTGTTTCTTGCGGCCCCATCGCGACCGCTGCCAACGACGTAGCTATAGCTTTTTCATGGGGGGGGGGGGTTTAGAGCAGTGGCGGCTCGTGGTCTGGGAAGGGTTTCAATTTTAGATCAGACGATATACCTGGCATATAGGGACGCCACCTTCGAAAATAAATTGAACTAGGGAAAAAAAAAACGTTCATTGAAAGAAAAATGAGAAACAAAAATCCTTCAAATCTGATAACAGCATTACATTTTACTATACAATTTGGAGGCTAGGCCAACAACTTTTTTTTTAAATTTAAGTTTAAATGGCGAATTTTGAGATTCAAAAAAAATTAAAAAAATCAAATTAAAAAAAAAACCCGTGGGGTCAAGGATGAGTTTTTATAGCTGAAGAGTTAGCAAATGACCTCCTCTTTCGTGCAGTTAAATTTGGCAAACAATGCACCAAACACCCTGTATATCTATACACAAGACCCCTCCGGCATCTCCAGATGTTGCTTGTAAGGTTGCCAACTTTGTTTTTTCATTTTTCTGGACAAGGGTAATAAAATATCAGAACATACGGTATAAATTCTGGACATTTTTTTTATTGCAGAGAAAAATACCATTCACAAACTTAAATAAACAATTCAACAAAAACAATACTGATACACTAAAAAAAAACTGTCCAACCAGAATTCTTTGGGTAAATAGGAACTAATAATCTAAAATTTTATTCCAAAATTACGCGGATTAACAAATCATTTGAAGAATATAAAAAGTTAAGTAAAGGTACTTACAAAGGTCTGTTCGCACAGAAATCAGAAATTACAAACCAGTCAGAGTGAATTTCATTGGTTTAAACTAGTTTTCTGACTGTTTTCAACCAATGAAATTCGCTCTAATTGGTTTATGATTACTGTGCGAACAGACCTATAGATACAGCCTCTAAAATTATTATTTTTTTTTTCCTTTTTTGCAGCTACCATTAACTTCTTGTGAGGTCTGTTCACACAGGAGTCTTTTACAGTTGGCAACCTATCAGGAACAATCGCTCAGCTAAGTTACCAATTTATATTGGAACGACGGCATTGAAAACATGTATGTGCGATGCTTTCTGACAGTTTGAAAACTATTAGAACAGACCTCTACCAAAATCATGAAATTCTTTGCAAGTTTATCAATTAAATTAAATTAAATTAAATTAATCTTCATTTGCAGTTCTGCCTTGCTGTGTTCAATGCACGATATAAAATACAAGTTGCAAAATGATCCAAAAATTTTTCAACTCAGTATTAGTCAAAAATAATAAATTGCATTTTCAAGTAATGTATGATTTTCCTTATAAACCAGAACGAGGTTTACAGCCGGCTCAATTTGACAGAGCTCTCCATTTAGTTAAAAATTAAGTACAATAGGCGTCCTGCAATAGGTTGTTACAGGACGCTGGACAATGAACACCAAATGGTGGACGTCCACCGAAATGCAAGACGGTTGGTAACCCTAGTTGCTTGATGTTGAATTAGTTTGGATTAGTTGAGTTAGTTGAGACGGTTGGAGAGGGAGATACAAGGATACTTCACATTACACAGATTAGCCTATCCTCATAAGGACTGTGTAAATCAAATCTCAAGCCCCCACTGCTCCACGCCAAAGTACCAGTTATGACGTAGGAATCTGGTCGATTCTCGTTTCGACGTAGGGTGTTTGCAGCACAGGCTATCATTCCCCTGGCTTTTGCTTTATGCATTATACTTGTGTTAGTAGTACATTAATTAACAATCTAAAAGAACCCTTTTCAGATCTCGTCTGCATCTTCCTCGTTGCCTATTATGTTAATCAAAATTAAATAATATTTACATCATAAATGTATATTCTAAACTACGACCGCTGGCGCAAACAGTTAACGACACCGTTGATGATGTCACCAACGGTGCAACACCATATGACCTTGATTGATGAGCAATCCTGAAGTAGTGTATATTATCCTTGAGGGAGACCGTAGGTAATGACGACGCGGGCGTTTCGGAGATTTTTTCCGGGAGAAACAGGATTGCGCTGTTGCTAACCCGGAGAAAACACCTACACCATTTCCAAATCCAAGCGGCAGTAAATGACAAACTGGTCATTTTCATTACAACCTATCAAATGTCCTCCGTGCATGCGCACTGGTCCAGGTAGGGCGTTTCAACCAATTAGACTATCCAAAACACGTGACTTTGACAAGCAAACAAAGGGTTTGTGCAATGAACTATAACCAAAAGCTGGAATGCGAACACATAAGGACGAACGTGAAGCCTAGTGCAGCTGCTGCGGAGGGGATACCTGTTTTTGTCGCACTCATTATGTTAAATGGCGAAAATTGCTTCCAACACGTATTCCAATCGATGAAACCTGTGAAGGGAAATATGACAAAACTTTGGAAAACTTCACATGACAGCGAGCAACAGAAAAAAACAACATTCCCCCTTGTGGCATCTGTCTTTCATGGCTTCATTTTTTTGGCAGATATGGCAATGTGTGCGCATTCCAGTTTTTAGCTATAGTTCATTGGATTTGTGTGCCTCTTGGCGGACATTTTAATTTAAGTTTGACAGCACCTTGGTTATAGTCGCCTATTCAAAACATGTGACTTTGACAAGCAAACAAAGGGGTTGTGTGCCTCTTGGCGGTCATTTTTATTTACGTTTGACAGCATCTTGGATAATCTAATAGGAAGGCTGGTGTTTGTTTACAATTTAGGTTATTAAATGTCATTTACTGGCGCTTGGAATTGGAAATGGTGTAGTAATCCGTAGCCCGGAGACCACATGCGAAAACCCGTAGACTCCGGGTGAAACCCGGAGAGGTGACTACCCTATAGCCGAAGGCGAAAACGTTTATTTTTCTTAAAAAAAATAATTTATTCAGTTCAATGGGGGGGGGTTTGAACCCCCAAAAACCCCCCCCACCCTTATATACGTCCTCGACCGCTCGGAGACAAAGCGCCGCAGACGGGAAATTTTTGGGTGCCACACCACTTTTTTAGGTTTCTTTACGCTATTTTTGGGACTGTTTATTCTAATTTTGAAGAATTATTCATAAAATTTAAGGGTCTTGGGGGGGGCAAATGCCTCCTTGCCCCCCCCTTGGCTACGCCAGTGTTGCCTAGCACAAATAAATCCTTCTATTAAAGCAAAAAAGGCAAACCCACCAATTATCAACAATCCGCTCAATAACTGTATACATTTTTCAATACCATTCCAAGACAACAGACTCCACATTTTCCTAGTTTATATCCACCCAAATAGTTTAATAGAAGAATCCATTTTCGTCATGGCCAAAATACATAAATATGCTATAATTGTGGGGGACTTCAATCCCAAAAGTAAACATGGAAAACAAAAACAGTTAGATAATTTCTTGGAGAACACCGATTTTGTGCAATATAACACCCCTCCAACTTTTCTAATGCCTAACAATAATGATTCAACTCCTGACCTATTGTTATATACAGAAAATGTCAGATAATATAAAAAGGGTGGAGATAATATCGGACATCGGGTCAGATCATCAATCAATGGTTATTTCCCTAGACTTGGAGGCTCCTATAGTAGCAAACAAAATCATCAAATACAACTTCAACAAAACAAATATAGACGAAGTTAATACTACCCTTAACCATCACTTGCGAGCCATAAGATCAGAACCTATCGCTGAACAATCAATAGATAACTTTATGGACACGCTACAAACTGCAATACTGGATAATACGCCAAAGTATCAACGTAAATTCTACGGGCATGTTCTTCCTCCATTTATAATTAAAATGATAAAAGTGAAAAGAAAAATGTTCAGAGAATACTGTCGAAACAAAAGGCCGGAAATAAAAAGACACATAAACGAATATAACAAAAACATTCAAAATATGATCAAAGAATACAGAACAAGTAAATGGATTGAAGTTTGCGATGAAGTTAACGAACTAAAAGGAAGAAACTATTCCCAGAAAATCAAAAAATTGTCCAAATACAAGCCATCCTTCAACATACCCACTATCGATGATAACGGAGAGTCATTCAACACAGATCAAGAAAAAGCAGGTGTGTTCAAGCGTCACTTTGAAAAGGTTTTCGAGTACAAGACACATCAGGAGTTCAACAAAGACCAAGAAGCACTCATCAACAACTGGTATCAAGAATTCTTTACAGAAAACTCTTATGAAAACTATGCTGTCAATCAAGAAGACTACTTTAATATCTTAACTAAACAGAAAAATACCTCACCTGGTCATGATTCTATACCCTGGAATATTATCAAAAAGCTAGATTTAACTATACACAAACACATTATCAGGCTATTTGAATTCTGCTTGAGCAATAATCATTTTCCAACAGTGTGGAAAAAAAGGCAAAATAACAGTAATTCCTAAAGGTAATCCAGACAGAACAAAACTAAGTAATTACCGACCAATAACCTTGCTACCAGCGATTGGGAAGCTTTTTGAAAAGGTTGTACGGAAGGTTCTGGACTTCTATGTGAGCGAAAGCATTCCAAAACATCAATTTGGTTTCCAAACAAAAAGATCCACCCTCCATCCTCTGACAATTTTGATGTCCAATATACAAACAATGAAACATGAAAACAAGAAATCGGCAGCAGTTTTCCTAGATATCCAAAAAGCCTTTGACAGTGTCTGGTTCAAAGGTCTTTTATACAAATTGTTTATTCTCAAAGTACCCAAACATCTGATCTGTCTAATTAAGAACTTCCTAGAAAACCGAGAGCTATTCATCCAGATAAACTCGATATGCTCAGAAATATTCTATCCATCACAAGGCGTACCTCAAGGCTCACCACTATCTCCACTATTATACAATGTATTCTGCTACGACATATTCAATTCAAATGCACTGGGGGTCGAAGACGCATATGTTCTGCAGTTTGCAGACGACACTGGTGGAGTAGCACATTCTACAACTCTTTCTGGTGTGATGGAAAAATTACAATCACTTGTAAATTTGATAATGAAATGGTTGCAAACATGGAGAATTCTACTTAATCCAGAAAAAACACAATTTATCATATTCAACCACAAATTAAATGAAAATAGCCCAAAAATAACCATCTCAACTCATCAAATTCAAGCACAGCCATCTGTAAAATATTTGGGTTTCTCATTGGATGCCAAATTGTTACTAAACCAACAAACCAAAAATGTCCAGATTAGAGTAGTCACTAGAGCCAAACATTTTCGTTCACTCACATACAAAAACAAAGGAATCACTATCCAAACTGCAGCTCATATTTATACCTGTATTTGTAGACCATTAATTGAATACGGCCACTTACTTTACCAAAACATTAGAAGACCAGCTCTACAGAATTTGGAAATGGCTGAAAGAAAAGCTCTCCGAGCAATCACAAAGTTGCGGCACCCAAGAAATCCACTACACCACCCCTCCAATGAAGAGTTATACAATAGAACAGGGATCACACCAATTGTTGAGAGATTGCAGCACCTGTCGAATCATTTTTCTGAAAAACCATACAACTTGGAATTTTTAAGACCATTAATAAAAATTCGAACTCCTGGAAAAGTTTCACGCTATAAATATCCAGAAAATACTCTATGGGAAATGATAACAAGAACTCAATAACAGTGTACCTATTTATTTACATATTTATTTAGCTAACTATAATGTATATATATATTTTTTTTTTCTTTTTTTTTATATCCACACTATTTATCCAAATCTCCTTTTCTTCTAACCAGTAATTCTTTTGAATGTGAACCAAACAAGTGCAAATTTACTTTTTAGGCTGAAGGACTTCGGTCGATGGCCTTTTGGGTGTGTGTATGTATATTTATATATATTTGCCTAATAAAATTACATTTACTACTTTACTACTACTTCACTTATGAGAATGCAAAAAATTTGGAAATAAATATGTATTTAACGATTTGAACATCTTAACAATCAATACAAATAAATGGTTGCTATCAGGAACCGTTTGTTTGTATCAAATATTAGCATGACTAACATATATACAATAACATGGGAGAATTATCGCTGTAATTCTCTCTAGTTAAACAAATGGGAAAGAGAATTTTCGCTGTAATTCTGAAAATTGTCACTTGTCATGGGATTTCTAACACATGAGTGGAATAATCGAATGTAATACCACAAGAGGTTTCAGGATTACCGGTTAATACTTTTACTTGTCACGAAACGCGTTACGCAGCAACACCACGACTCCGAAGGAGGAGTGGTGTTGCTGGTAACGCGTTGAGAGTCAGGTAAAAGTATTAGGTAATCCTGAAACATCGAGTGGTATTCAGAAGGTTATACAACGAACTAAACTTATATGCTTTATTAATTTTTATTATTATTAATGACAAATGCCACCAAGCGCGATAATCCCAAAAGGCTTATCACTTATAAAGCCTCTCGTGTCATATGGCAATAATGTACAGTGAGTTGTATAATCAGTACAATTTTAATTTGTAACTTTTCAATTTAAGATTTCCGCTGAAACATTCACTTCAAAATGCTTTATTTGAACGTTGAACAAATGATTCTTATTCAAAAAAATACTATTTTAGGTGACCAGGCTATACTGCATATTTATTTAGGGGATAAAGTGCAGTATAGGTCGGTTACAAATAAACAGTATTTTCAGTATAATTTTAATTTGTAATTTTTGAATTAAAGATTTCCGCTGGAAAATTTTCTTCAAAATGCACTATTTGAACGTTAAACAAAGGATTCCTATTCAAAAAAATACCATTTTAGGTGACCGGGCTATACTGCATATTTCCAGATACCACTGATTTTGGAATATTAACCAAAGTTGTGTTTTTTGAAATGGGACACCTCATATTATTTTTTCATTGCATATCTCTTTCTGAGAAGCAATGATATAAGGTTTTATAGCTTTTTTTTTAATAGTTTTTGAGAAAAAAGTAAATAAATTAGAAAGAAATATCTTATTTTAAAACAAGTGTGTGTGATTCAATGAGTAATCAGTCTATATTTACAAATAAATATGGCATTTAAGGCACTTGTATGGTAAAAAAGAATCCAGAATCCTATTCCTCTGTTATGGGGCTGTGAAGCTAAATTTAAAAAAAATCCAATTAAAAATATGCATCAGAAAAGCAATAATTGTTACTTACAACTTCTGCCACATCGATCCAATCGAGCACATTCAAATAGGCATCATTTTTACTAGGAATCTTATCCCAATTCCAGTAAACCATATCTTTGAATTTGTTGACTACATAAAAATTCCTCTCGTCCTTTTCCCTCGAAGGGCGACTGCTCTCGTGCAGTAAAACTCCCACGTAGCCCTCGGGCAACTCGATTTTTCGCCCCTTCAAAGGGTAGCCCCTGAAGGACGCAGTGAGGTTAGGATTTTTGTCGTTGTCATTTTTGCCAGTTTGCACGTAGGGCTCGAAAAAAGTAGACACGGGGGCGTCGCAATCGGCGTGTATCCTAAACGGAACGCTTTGGAGTTTGCTTTCTTTTAAATTACACTTTAAATGTTTTTTCCCGCTATGGATGTGAATCGCCATTTTTTTTATTTGAATTTGTTTGTTTGACAGTTTTGTTTTTACAGGGTTTCCAAATGTCAACTACTTATTGGTACCAATCGCCAGGGATCAGTGTTGCTAGGCGTACCGCGTACCATAAAAATAGGCTCTTTGCATCAAATTTTTTTATTGCTGATTTCGATAGTCCATGAAAAATAAGTCAACACGTGTTTTTTCTTTTGGTTCTTAGTCAAAAATTGATGGAGATACAACACTATGAAATCTGCCTATGACGTCACTTATCTAATAAATAAGTGACGTTTCACAAGCCAGTATATCTATATATACAAAACTTAATATTTGATTTGAATAACTTCTGGAATAATCATATTTGGGCGAAATAAAAAAAAAGTTACGATTTTTTTTCGATTTCCTTCAGGTTGCAATAAACAATAATCAATTTAATTTTCCATGCAAGTACCCTATTCTGTATTTGTACCATAATTTTGCAGAAAAATATATAGTAAAATCGCGAATACAATAATACATAATATACCATAATTTTGATTTCTTTGTATTTTTCTTAACTTTATAATACTCCTTCTTTTATTTTCTCATGTTTTTGCTGTTTAGAGGTTTGAAAAATATGCGTGACGTCATAAATCCGGATGCGTGGTTGGTTGATCGGCTCCGGTTGCCGAGCTGCAGTTCTTTTCTATCTCACTCTCACTCACGTCAGCGGACAGCTGTTTATTTTTACCAAGAATTTTTTATTTATTTTTGTTGTTTGCATTTTTAGTTTGTGCTATTTATTCTAATAAAGTTTATTCAAAAATTAATGTATAACATAATTCTTTTTCAAATAACATAACTTTGACCTTCATGTACCATAATTTCAAAATCAAAATCAGGCAACACTGCCAGGGATAAATTCTTTTAAAAAAGAAGAGTCACTGTCAAAACAAATAACAAACAACAGCTGATTGTCAAAATATTTTTTATTAATCTAAACATATGTTAGTAAAAGTTTTTGACTAAAATTATTATTATGGATGAACAAAATATTCCTATCGACATAAATACCACCAAATTGCTGGATTGGTTGGTGTCCAGACGTCATATTCCAAAAGATTGGCAAAACGCTGTTTTGCAAGTTCGAGAGAAAATCAACAATGCAATTCAAGACATGCCCATACACCAGGGCATTGTAAAATTGGTCAGCGGACAGCACATTAACTATTTCCATTGCCTGAAAATAGTGGACATCCTCAAGGAAACTGAAAAGGACACGAAAAATATATTTGGAAGGTACGGGTCTCAGCGTATGAAGGATTGGCAGGACATCATCAAGTCGTACGAGAAAGATAATGTTTATCTTGCAGAGGTAATTATTTAACGTTTTTTACTAACATTTTCATTATAATAATTAAATTGAAGAGAAGATTTTGGCACAACCATCAAATGAGTTTTAAAACTTACATTATTATGTTAGTCCAATGACATTTGTGTGTTTTTTTTATTTTTGAAAATAAAATGATTTGAAAATCGAATTTCTAACCTGCGAAATCGGGGGCTAGGAGTGTGACATCAGAGTCCTAAAAATGTGAAGATTATCTATACAGGGTATCCCGGATAAGGATGCACTCTACAGGTAGCACCATAAACATACGCGAGGGGTGTTTCACGGCCGGAAATAGGTGTACAAATCTCAAAATAATTTCCGGAAATGGTGAGAAATTACAGAAATTTCCTGTAAATTGTCATAAATTATGTTAATTCTCAGAAATTATAGGAAATTTTGGGAAGTGTCAGGAACTGTTAGGAAATTATTCGAAATATTGGGAAATTTTTCAAAATCATAGAAAATTTACTGAAATTATTATTATAGGAAATTAGGAAATTTTCACCAGAAATTTTTGAGAATTTTTGTGTTTCGAATATTGCTTAGTTCCTGTTAAAAATAAAGGTAAGTACAGTGGGAATCATTACAATTGGCACACACTATATAAATATCCCTCGTAATGTCTCAAATCTGACACACGCTAATAGCAAAATTCTGCACTTAAATAGATTTATTGGTTAGAATTTTGACTTAATATGAGGGATTTTAAAGAGTGTGTGCCAATTGCAATGATTCCGACTGTACAGGGTGGTCCAAATTGGACACTTTCTTATGGAAACACCCTTTATTTTTAGAGATAGAAAAAAATGAACCCCCCACTCTGAGGCTCAAATTTCATGAAACTTTGATTGGTGCAAACCGCATTTTGATATCTTCAACCGTTTAGCCCCTAGAGAGCGATTCTCGATTTTGAGCAATACTGTGAAACCTTCATAACTTTTTTGTTTATGAAAATAATTGATTTCCGTAAAAACTTTCTAACAGCACTTTTTTAAGAAGAATTCAGTGACGTTCTCAGTTTTTTTCTAATTGACTCGGATTTCGAGACATTGACCAAAATCCGATTTTTTTCAATAGAACACATATTAATAGCTTATTGGAAAGCTCTGCTTTTACTGATTTCAATGATATAAAGTTCGATAGGTTTATCCCTAACAGTTTTCGAGAAAAAAAATTATTTCTGTTTTTGTCATAAGAAACAATGTGTTAGAAAGAGACCTTTCTCGTTTTTCTTACAGATATAAAGTCCTTTTCCAACACATTGTGTCTTATGACAAAAATCGAAATAATTTTTTTCTCGGAAACCGTTGGAGATAAACCTATCGAATTTTATATAATTGAAATCAGCAAAAGAAGAGCTTTTCAATGAGCTATTAATATATAGGATGTCCTATTGAAAAAAATCGGATTTTGGTCAATATCTCGGAATCGGAGCCAAATAGAAAAAAGCTGAGAACGTCAATGAATTCCACTTAAAAAAGTGCTTCCAGAAAGTCTTTACGGGAATGAATTATTTTCATAAATAAAAAAGTTATGAAGGTTTCACAGTATTGCTCAAAATCGAGAATCGCCCTCTAGCGGCTAAACGGTTGAAGATATCAAAATGCGGTTTGCACCAATCAAAATTTCATGAAATTTGAGCCTCAGAGTGGGGGGTTAATTTTTTTCTATCTCTAAAAATAGAGGGTGTTTCCATAAGAAAGTGTCCAAATTGGCCCACCCTGTACTGGGTGGCCCATTTTCGATGTTTTAAGGCTATATCGAAAACTAGCAGAGGTATCAAAAATCTGGGAGCACATTCTTGAGCTCTTTTTTTGAGAAAATAACAATGGCGAAGACAAATCACGGCTAACTTGATGCGTTTAGGAAATACAGGGCACTTTTCAAATTTTGTCCAATTTTAAAAGAATCTCTAATTTCCTTATTGTTCAAGATATCCAAAAACGAAAAATACTTTCTAGAGACAGTTTTTTAAGGAGAATCCAGTGGCATAGGCAATTTTTCTCCAGATGCCTCCGATTTTGGAATATGGACCAAAGTTGTGTTTTTTTTAAATGGGACACCCCGTATATTATTTTTTCATTGAATAGCTCTTTGTAAGCTGATTTCAATGATATAAGGCTTTATACCTTCACCTTCTATAGTTTTGGAGAAAAAAAAATTAATTCCGTTTTTCTATAAGAAACAATGAGCTAGAGAGAGGATGTCATTAAATAAATCATGTGTTGCCTATTTATCACCCGCCCCGATTCATAGTTCAAATTAAAAAAAAATTAGCTAAACTCTAAACTGAAAAATTAAATTAAGAAATTTGTAGCCGATTCATAGTTCAACTATCTCTTTCTAATTCATTGTTTCTTATGGAAAAAACGGAATTAATTTTTTTTTTTTCGAAACCTATTGAAGGAAGGTAAAGGTATAAAACCTTATATCATCGAAATCAGCTCACAAACAGCTATTCAATGAAAAAATAATATATGGGGTGTCCTATTTAAAAAAACACAACTTTGGTCAATATTCCAAAATCAAAGGCATCTGGAGAAAAATTGGTCATGCCACTGGATTCTACTTGAAAAACTGGCTCTAGAAAGTATTTTTCGTTTTTGGATATCTTGAATAATAAGGAAATTAGAGAGTCTTTTCAAATTGGACAAAATTTGAAAAGTGCCCTTTATTTCTTAAACGCATCAAGTTAGCCGTGATTTGTCGTCGCCATTGTTATTTTCTCAAAAAAAAAGATCGAGAATGTGCTCCCAGATTTTTGATATCTCTGCTGGTTTTCGATATAGCCCATTAAAACATCGAAAATGGGCCACCCTGTACAAGTCTGGATAAATCGGGATGAAATCTGGAAAACTCTGGAAAGCTCTGAATAGGTCTGGATAATGTCTGGAAATCTCTGGGGCTGACACGCTTTTATAATACATCGAACTAAAAAGTAAAAAATAAATATATTTTGAAAAAACTAAAAAACACGCTTTTATAGTAAATTGAACTAAAAAGTGAAAAATAATTTTTTTCTCCAAACGTCAAAAAAACGTCACTTTGTCAGCACATGTCAACATGTTAGAAAGGACCCCGCACAAACCTTACGGAAAATGTGTTTATGTCAAATCGTCTGATTTTTTGATAGTGTGTCAAGCTCGATGACCTGAATAAAAGTTATCATTGCGCAAAAGCCCAATAATGAACAGTTTTTGAAATAAACGCCCTTTTGTACTCTCACAAATATAGGTAAATCTTATAGATAATGACATCAAAAAATTAATTATCTACAGGTGAAAAATGCGTTGAAGCGTTTTCATTTTTTTAGAATCGGAATTGACAGCGTTTGACAGTAAAAATAGATAGGTGAATTCCAAAAAGTTCAGGTTTTCCCCACACTTAAACTGTGCTTAAACTTTTACTTGCAAAACTCTAACCGTACAGTTCCGCAACCGTAAATTGTTTTATAGTTTGATCCATTTTTCTTCCGATTCATAAAGTCTTTTTGATCATGGCAATGAGGAATATATTGCACTGTTTCATATGTCCTGCGGCACTTCCTACCAGATTAATGGTGCGTCTTGTTGGAGATGAAAATGCCGATAAGTGTGCCATAGCTCAACAAAGGCGTCTAGCAAACATCAGCCCTATTATAGAAATCAATGAACTCACAAGAATTTGTGCCAGCTGCAACAGATCCATTATTAGGGAAATAAATGCTCTTCAGCGAGATCCCGCTTGTTTGCGGCTCAATGTTTTGACACAAAGTTCAAGCCATTCGTGTCTGATTTGCAACTCACCAAATGAACCCCGATTATCTACCGAGGCCAGGGTGAATATCTTCCTCAATAGGGACATATATGTTCCAGAATATGTCAAAAGTTGTGCCTACCATTTGGACGGAAACGGTTTTCTTCTGCAACGACTTCTGCCAGGTTTGAGATTTGTAAACAGGCCCTACATAATTCCAGGTCGGGAGTTGCAAAAGTTTTTGAAACACTTGAGAAATACAGCTAATGAACATCCCAAAGTTGATAGCGAAGATTATTTTTCTGATGCAGACTTTGAAAGCATCGCCCCTATCACGAAAGTTCAGTTTAGGAGTTTATATGATCTTTGCGATCCTATACCGATAGAGAATGGTTATAGATATGTTTCCAGAAAAGATCTACTGGCCTTTTTGTGCAAAATGCGACAGGGATTGTCGGATAGTTTCGTTAAGGCTATTTTCAATTACAGAAGCCGTCAAACTGCAAGTCTCGCGATAGCAACCGTGAGGCAATCTCTATTACAAAGATTTGTACCTCAAAATATCGGTTTAACAGCTATTGATCGCGCCGCATTTATTGAAATTCATGTACCTCCCTTTGCGAATATACTTTATAATGAGAATCCGGGCACCTCGAGAGTTATTGCATATATTGATGGCACGTATTCCTATGTTCCTAAAAGCTCCAACTTCCAGACCCTGCGGCAAACGTTTTCGATTCACAAAGGTCGTCATCTTGTGAAACCTACACTGATAGCAAAGCTGATAGTAGCACCAGACGGGTATATTCTGATGGCAATATAAGGTCCCTATTTTACCGACTCGCGAAATAATGATGCGGCTGTCCTACGAAATGAGTTTGAACGTGATGCCGAAAACATGAGGGAATGGTTCTAGAACGGCGACATTATTGTGCTTGATAGAGGGTACAGGGATTCAATCCCACTATTACAGGCGCTTGGCATCCAATATCGTATGCCTCGTGGTGTGGAGCGTGGACAACGCCAGTTGTCTACTGAGGATGCAAATGAATCCCAGTTGGTTACCAAAACCCGCTGGATTGTAGAAGCGCGAAATGGACACATTAAAGGCGTGTTCAAGTTTTTCAGCCAGACAATAAGCCTTCAGCATATACCACATTTAGGAGATTTTTACCGGATTGCGGGAGCTATAATTAATAGGTACCATCCCCTTATAGAAATGAATGCCTACAATGCTGAGCTGGCTC